CGCTTCTCGCGATCCTCCCGACGCGCTCGACCTCGGCGCTCTCGTCGTTATGTGGTACCAGACAGCTCATATCGTTGTTCTCGACTTCCACATAGTCTTTGTAGCAGCGCACGCAATGAAGCCGCGGAGGCAGAACGAGCTCGGCGAAGAATGTCGCGAACGCAGCGAGGATGGGTTCGGGGGCATCCTGGAGGTGAGACAGGACGTAGGAGTGCAGTGTCTTTGCGGGGATGGAGGCGATGTGGGAGGTGAGTGATGCGACGGTAGGTTCCGAAGCGATAAATGCTGGAACAGGGGGAATCGCGGTGTCGGAAGCGGATAGAGATGGATGGGCAGGTGAAGGCTGCGCTGCGCCTTCCTTCACAGTGCCTTTGTGACCAGGTAGCCAGAGCAACCATGAGATTTTGGGTGCTGTGATGACAGACGACAAGGCGGACCTTGTACAGCACTTTGCCGCTCTCGACATCCCACATGCAGACTGTGCGGTCTACTCCTCCAACGGCGACGTGCCGACCGTTATCATCTTTGCTCCACACGCCTCTCAACAAGATGTTCTCAAGACCGGCGGGCGCACTCATCAACACGCGGTGGATATGCGCAGGCGACGGCGAGAACGGCCGGACGTTGTGGATGATGGTCTGGGAAGAGAATGAAGGGGAGAGCAGGAAGGACCGGTTAGGTGACAGAGACAGCGAGGTCGGCATGTCCGTGTGTCCTGTGAGGCTGTACACCTGCTCATTTTTGCACAAGTCCAGAACCTATGCGAATAGAATTAGCAACACAATGAGGCGACGACGATGCACAGCGCTTACATGGATTTTATTGTCCAGCGCGCCTCCATAGATGTTCATGCCATCTGCACTACAGCACACAGACGTGACTGGACAGCTGAGCTCGAACATGCTTATCGGTGTCTTAGGACCTTCATCTCCACCCTCCCAGACTCTCACCGTCCCATCATCGGCACCCGTCACCACCAACTCAGTGCCTGCTCCACCGGCATTGTCCTGTCAAGTGAGTTGATAATGCCTCGGTGAGCGCATAGATTGCGTATGCGCTGACCAGTAGTGAGGTCTGTCACGTTCAGGGTGTGATCCGCTGAAACGGTATACAGCAAAGGAGAGAAAAGCGACCATTGAAGGTCGAGGATGGGAGCTTTGTGTAGGTTCGCGAGTAGTCCATAGTTGGTATTCGGCGCATATCTTTGCCAAAGAGCTAGAAAATATTCATCAAAACTGTTTGCTCATGCACCGAGGAGCAGTATGTAGAAGCACAAACGCTTCGATCTGCACTGCAAGCTGTGATATTTTGGCCAGTAGGGTCGAACCTACAGCTTAGAATCTCTGCCTGTATGTTCAGGTCAACACGCTCATAAATGACACGCCTTCGATGCTCTATACTGTGCATACTAACCCATGCGATCCGCTGAGACTGACGATGGGAGCTTCAAGACTGCTCATTCGCTGCACTGTTCGAATTAGTGCCTGCTGTCGTTCGTCGTTGGAGGAAGAGATCGCGATTTGGTTCATTGGTGGTGACGAGAATCGTGTCCTCTTCACTAGAGCCCAGTCGTGAGGTGGTGTCATAAGTCGCCGATGCACCGAGGGAGTGGAGTTGCGTTGCAATGCCGACGCTGAGGCTGAGCTTGACAACTTTATTGGCAGCTATTTGTACACTTGTCCACGTCACGAGGAAACCATTACCCTTCATTGGTGAGTCGCGCATCATACTATGCATGTCCTCTGCCGTATATGTGGAGGCAGGCTCGCGGAGAGCACGTCTATCCTTGCGGAAATAGTGATTCTCGGATCTTGTGGTGAGATATCTCTGTATTCAATGCCCTACCATTCATCATTCGAGATGCTCCTTGTGGCAGGTCACGTCTTTTGTCATCACTGCTTGGCGCAACAACTCTATGACAGCCGTCTGGAAGCAGAATATAAATGCCCAGAATGCGCTTCTATTGTTGATATGCAAAGCATGAAGAGAATTTTTCTGGCTGGCACGGAGGATGACACGGACACACATTCTAGACAGCGAGTGGCTGCGTATGTGTGATTTCTCATGGTCCATTGTAAGCCTTGGTTAACTTCCTCCGCAGAGACCCAATGATTGCCGTGGAGATTATGAGACTTCGCACACTGGCCGATAGCAGGGACATCCTCAACGAATGCCATGAACTGCTTACCAAACAGCGTGATCTGAAGGTACAGCTGCTGAACGATCTCGAGCATGAGATAGATGTTGGGAATGAAAGGAAACGAGCTGCTGAGAATACCAGAGATGAACTCAAGAAGCTGTTGGAGAGATACCATGGCCAACGGATGCGACTGCAGAGTCAAATCGGCCTCATGGATCATGATGTAAGCCTGCTCCAGTATCAGAGATCAGAGGCATCTCAATGTTTTCTCATGTTTCATTAGATTGCCACAGGCTCTCATGAAGACTTTCAATTCAGATGATTGCCGTATCCTCAGCATGTTTTCCTTACAATTGAGAATTGATCTGGTCATTTGCTCTGTAGGAAGCGCAATCACGGTTGCTGCGAATTCGGTCCTGTTTTGTCCTGCGCTGCAAGTTCGTGGCGGCACATATTTCACCCCTTCGAGTAGTGCTCAGAGAGTGTGGCGCTGAATTGAAGCGCAAGACTCGGCATGGCCAACATGTGTCAATTGTCGGTCCGTGAATATTTACGGTTGCTCGCCACCCTCGCAATATTGGCACAGATCATAATGTTGATGTGCACGTTGAATCACAACGATTCTTCCCGCATTGCTTACAGCTAGACAGGTCATGTAGCCGCATGGTGTGATGGGTTTAGAGAGTAACAGCAAAGATGGACCCAAAGGCGGTGTTCTTCGACTTGATGAGTGTAATGGTCACTGCAAGCCAATCCGATTTGTCTATAGCCATCTCAAATCATCTTAAATCCGGCTAATCATATTCTCATCGGCGCATTTATATTGATGGGTTGATGATCCAGCACCTCTACCACGCTTCCATCGAACAGCCCTCCATCGCTTTGCCATCCAACATTTATTCTTCCTCATGCATCCCAGGTGCCCTGTGTGTTTTGATGACTTTGGGCCCAATTGCTACGATGATGAAAATACTCATCCCGTGGCTTTGGCATGTGGCAAGCATATCCCCTTGTATTTCTCGTACTCTTGTTCTAGTCTTTCTGATGACGTCTCTGCTAGGTCACATACTTTGTGCTTCTTGCGCTCACACGTTGATCTCGGATGGCTCAACCTGTCCCCTGAAGGATTCTGAGCAACAAATTGAAGAACATGATCTCACCGTTGTCGCCTTGGTGTTTGAAACAGCTGGTGAGAAGAAGGATCTTCAATCATACATCAATAGGTACAACTTTATTTTGTCCTATAATCTACATATGCAATGACTCTGTCTCCCACAGGTCAATGACTTTATTGAAGACGGAGCAGCAGCTCATTGAAGAATATTCATCTAACCTGCAACCTGAAACTACCGCCCTTTATTCGTCCGTCAGAATGCAAGAAGCTCAAATCGATGATTTCAGAAATACTGCCGCTCTCCTCTCACAAGAGGTGATTAAGTTGGATGGGGAGGTCTGTCAGCTTCGTGAGGATTTGGTACGGGAAATGTCGATGTGCTGTGAATTACTAAACCGGCTGGCTGGTAGCGCGTAGCAATAAGATATGTGGTTGTTTGGGAGGTATTGCCCCCGAAACATGTTAAAATAAGTGCTTTCCTCTTCGGCCACTACCGAATAGGGGAACTACAAAGAGTTTTTGCTGGAGCTTAGAATGGGCTTCGTGTAGTGCGTCCTCGCAGCCGTTGAGTCTGAAAGTCGAGAGCATGCCTGATTAATTCCACTCACGACACTGTCTGCATGTACATATACGTACATCATTGTTTTCCGTAATGGGATGCTGTTGGAAGTGGCCGACCGATGGCACTTTCAGTAGAACGCGCTCAATGTGTCGGGAGGGACCAGCGCCAAGCGACGGCTGAAACGCGTTGCAGGGCAGTACCTGGAAACGGAGCGGGCCAGTACGGAAGGGTGGAAAAGCATGTAAGTACGCACCTGTAGTTCATAGGCCCCAGTTGTTTGTGGCCTCATGAGATGGGAAGGTGCCGGCTGGCTAACACCCTTGCCGCACCAGGATTTCCTAGAGATGCTCGTGCCAATCACCACTGCAACATTCATGTGCCCCCAGGCCTAAGTGCGATCAGACGCAGCATCAAACTTGCCTCCATTTGACGTGCCATCTTGTCTGGGTGTCTCCCAGTGCGGCGTGTGGCCTACCTCTTGCGTACATCTCTGTCCCACCAGCCAGCCGGCAGATGTGCTGTCTCGATAATTTGTTCCGCCACGATGCGACATGTGCACACTCTATGCAACATCGTTTGAGCATTTTGGCGATGGCGATGGATATCTCATAGCCATCTTAGAAGATGTATTAGCTTGGCTGGCCTATGTGTGGTTAGCCATCGACGGCGTTAGTATGCATCCTTTGCCCTCTTATGATCATACTACCCCAGGTTGAACGATTTCTCTCCCCCCTCCCCCAGTAGATGTTCACCTGCTTAATCACCAATTTCACCCAAAGAATAAAAGTCTGAAATTGTTATGCATGGAGTGGAATGTCGGGCCATGCGGCTCTTTCGACGACATGGCCACTTAGCAGCTCACAAAAATTCATGCAGGACTTCTCTAGCAACATGTGTTATCTGTTCTGTGTGCTATGGTATCGAAAGCTATATGTTACGCTATGGTACAAGTGCAAGAGGCAGGCGCAATGCGCGTACGGTAGGTACAGTATATAGTACGTAATGGGGGGATCGTGTCTAATAGGTATTGGGTCTAGGTACTAGGTAGGCATCATGTGTCGTAAGTGTCTAGTAAGTATTGTATCTAGCAGGTATTCTATGCGATCATCGGTATAGCATGAGAGTGGCTACCATATGTATGTATGAGATGAGAGATGAAGTACGGTATGGTACGCTACATCTATATTACGTCTACGGTGAGGCTACAGTAATCTACTAGAGGTGGGGTATAATCTTGCTTACTTTCCACCAAGACTGTGCCTTCAAAGCAGCCTGAACACTAGCAGCCTGGAGAACCTCTTGGCGGTAGTCAAATCCTAGATCGAGGACTTTCAAAACGATGCGCTCTAACCGACGTCTCTCACGCTCTCGCTCGCTCTCCGCCGACAGACGCAGTGCCTGAGGTGTCACAGGCGGCGCGTGCTCATCCTCCTCGTCCGTGATCTGATCATCCCCGGCATTGTAATGCTGGTCCGGTGATTGTTCATTGTGCTCCATCTCGTCAGGCGTGGCGATCTCCTCAAGGAACAGCATGGCCTCTGCTGTGGCTAGATGGGGATGCTAGACGCGGAGGAAAGACTGCAACGGATTGTGACATTAACGTCTGAGTGTCTTCATCCATGTCCGATGAGTCTGAATCCGGCGATGAAGGAGCCTCAGGTGCGGTTGCCAGCGAAGACGTTGAACGATGCAACGTTGCATGTCCAATGGACGTGGGAGGTGATTCGGGCGTCTCGTTCTGCGGACTAGGCGGTCGTAGACGGCGAGTAGTTACATGGAGTCCTGAGATTGAGACCGATCGCGGTTGGCCTCACATGCTTGTGAGCTTTGCATTTATTGGTGTTGAGTTGTCGTCATTTCTATTCTCTGCTCCATATGGTTTCCCTGTCCCTGGAACGACCAGCATAAAACAAGCGTGATCAGGATGGACCAGCGTAATTCTGGTCTCCACCGCTTCGAAGGCAAAACGAGCCAGTATCCGCTCAGTCAACGCTGCGAAGTTTTACACACCTTGAGGCTCCATATCGCTCCAAGATTCCATATCTGTAACGAAAGGATCGAGTCCTCCCGGTAGGTTGTCCGTAGCAGATGAATGCAAGAGATCGCAGATCTCCATCGCAAGGCGTGATACTTTTCATGAAGTGCAGGCCTTCTTTGACGTGGGGCGAGCTAGCTCGAAGAGCTGCACTCATAATTGAGAGCCGAACTCAAACTGTTCATTCTCTGGAAGAGCAGATACGCATCATCAGCGATGGTCGAGCTTCAGAATTCTGCTCTGCTGGAAGCCGAAGAGGCCAACATGACTGCTGAGGAATCAAAAGTAAGGGCCCAGGAGGAGCTCTTCAGCACACGACAATGGCTTGCTTCGACGCGAGCTGAGCTCCACGAGATGCTGAACGGATTCGCGGCTGTGCAAAGGGAGGTGAGCATTCTAGCGCACGATGATCATGCTTGGACTGACGATGATCGCACGTCCGTTCGAGAATGCAAAAGCTCTGACAGAGTCGGAGGTGGCTGAGATTGATGCACAGCATCGAGCTCAGGCTGCAGTCGAAGAGGAGCTGCATCGCACCTACAAGCAGATGCAAGAGCTGGAAACTGCGCAACTGCAGACTGTGGCAGTGCCCGACATGAAGACGGAGATGGAGGCGGAGCGTGCAGCACGCGAGAAGGTCGAGGGACAGTATACGCCCGCACTCGCATACACTGCAGAGCTTCAGCAGAGAATAGCCGAAGCTGACGCCACGTGCGATCTCCGAGACAAGCACCAACTTCAAGCTACTCTCGCAAGCGTTTGAGAGGAACGAAAAGCACAAATCTGCGAGACAGATGCGGTGCGCGCTACTCGCGCACGTGTATGAGGGACGCTTTCTACCGCAGAGTCGGCCAGACAGGACTTGCGATGACGGTGCCCTTCTCCGATGAGGTCGCAAGCAGGGTCCCCGTCAAGTTGATCGAGAGGAAGTAAATTGGTTTTTGTGCGCCTGAATGACGTTTGCGACGGTCAGCGAGCATGTCGAGAAGATGAGCACATCACCTGTCTGCTGCGCTGACAAGGAGGTGTGGCGGGCTGGACAGATGGCCGAGCGAGCGGTGACTCATGAGGTGGGAGAGGGGACTGGAGAAGAGTATGCAAGGTGGGAACTGTCGGTGGAGGGAGAGAGAGCGACGATGGCTGCGCAGACAAGCCGAGTTGTGCGCTGTGAGTAAACAGGGGGCGAAAGTACTCACCTTCAGGGTTCGGTGTGGTCTCTACAACGCGCATGAGCCGCATGTTCGAAATGTCGTATATGCAGATCTCTATTTCGAGGACGATGACCAGCGTCTTGCGGTTCATCTTAACGGCAAGGATGGAGGATGGGAAAAGGAATTCGCAGATCATGGATTGTCGCTGCAAGCGGATAGCGAGGAACACAAAAACTGACCATTATCATCACAGAGGTGCAAGATTTGGACGCGATGGGCATACCTTCGTGTTCACAACCTGCAACTTGCGTGGGCTAGATTGTGATTGTAGTTGATCGGCGGCACCAACGAGTGCGATGAGCGATGAGCACAAAAGCATTCCAACAATTCCCTTTGTACCACCATCTACAAGCCGAGTAAGCGAACGACCGTGCAGATAGACGTTTTTGTTGCGCATGCACCTTGATGAATTTGAACGCGTGAGTGACGCGGATACGTGGAATTCGGCGGACGGAACTCGCAGATCATCGAGGTTATTGCACCTGCATCCTGGCTCAGCACACTTGAGGACGCTACTGTACATTGTAATTCGCAACGGGTGTTCTGTTGTTTCATATGAAACCCCTGTATGCAAACTAAAGTGTATGGACCTCAATGCTGTATTGCGGTCTGAGCAAGGCAAGTGAGCAACACCGAAAGTCGTATCTTATTATATGGCTACCGACCCACACTCAGATTGCATCATCATGCTGAAGGTGATCGAGCGGGGTATACCCTCAAGGACATATTGCTCCTGTCTCGTTCCACCGTGCCTGCTCAGAGAGCATCTATGCTCGGCATTCTCAGACGCATTGCGAAGAGACTGGGAAGGGCACGCCGGGGGGATGCGAACGTGACGATACCGGAGCTCGCCGGCTAGGATGTGAAAATTTGCAAACGTATCCTAGCTGCCAGCGTCGAGGCTATGACAGAGTGGGGGTGGAAGAAAGTTATGTGGGAGTGTATAGTCAGCTAGCGGCAAAGAGGAGAGAGGATCCCCACTGTCGGATGTAGAAATAATTTCCGATGACACACCAGGTGGGGGAACCCGGAGCGGATTATCTGCATTGCGCTAGGAAAATGATGAGTATGGTGATATGTGCCGTAGTCTACGGATAACTTGCCATAGACATGCGGCGAGCTGAAGGTCAGTGCAACGTGATGTGCAATAGGTGAGCACTTGTGAGAGCGGCGCTGTGATGAATGGAGACGTCAGTCAGTGTGACTGTTCCGTGCTCATGTCAATACCTTCTCGGTCTAGAATGGCCTTGGTCAACTTCGATGCCACTTGAGGATTGTCCTTTGCCAGATAAGCGAGTGCAGAAAGGGCAGCTTCTTGTGACTGCGGGACGCGCATATAGTCATGCCTTCGGTCGATATTTTGGGATTGCCTACCTTGATATCTTTCTTCTGCAGCAGAGCAATCAAACTTCGCATGACCCGGCCGTTTCGTCTGCTGGAAGAGCTCGATAAGCCAGGCTTCTCCCACGCTCTCTTGCCTTTCACCTCCTTCAGGCGATCTGCCACCGGCAACCAATCTGATACTGCCACATGATGGATTGGCACCCGAATTGCATTTGCAAGGAGTTGTGCTATCGATATCACAGTTTGCGCAGAGGAGTCCGCGAGTAGAGGCAAAAAGGTGTCCAATACTTCCGGCTGGGCAACAAATGGGGTGAACATGTCATTGAACAAAGTCGTGTGTATCAGGATAGAGCATATTACCTGGAAGAGGTAGTCCAGCGCAACCTTGGCTCCGTTGCGCACCTCTAAAGAAGCGGTATGCAAGCCCTATTGCGACGGTCCGACTGCATTGGCAATGGATGCCGCCAGCGCACGCAGGGCGCGTGCAAAGGCTGCACGAAACTTGGGCGACTCAGGTGGTCGGAAGCTGACTATTGCGTAGACGAAGGCTTGGTGGGCATTGTATCTCATAAGAGTCTTGAGCGCACCCTCGGAGCCTGGGCCGTAGTGCGTTCAGGCCGGACGTAAGGAGGGCGCATGTAAAGGAAGTACGCACCATAGGACAGCGAGGCAATAACATGTGCGGCCTCGATGCGGATATCGTCCTGCGACGATGAAGGGTCCTCTAATATCAGGGGCGGGTTGTTGATGAAGTCGACGAGGCTGGTCGCCGGTCAATGCGTAGAAGCCATAGACGCTGCACTGCATGCTTATGTTCCGATGAACGCCTCATCGTTGGCCATGGCGTGTTTAGCGGTGGGGTTGCCTATGATTGTGTTCTTGGCCTTTTTCAAGGCAGAGAGACTCATTGCTTCGATTGTCATGGTGGTAGAATGCAGATAGCCTGCACTGTAATGTTCATAATACAAGGGTGACCACTAGGAGCCCACCTGGGAGCTTTGGGTTCTAGGAGATAGCCTACTGGCTGACAGCCTGTCCAAGTTCAAGAGAGAGGTAATGCAATCGAGACGGTGCAATCAGTCGACAGTTGGTAAATGAGAGAAGGACGCAAGCGGTGGCCTGGAGAGGTCGAGGAGGATGCATGTCCAAAAGCATGCGCCGCGGTGTGCCAAATTACCCCGCGTGCCTCGATAAACGCTCCGGGCAAGCCAAAGCTCTTCCGGATATCATTCTCTTACGCCAATGGCTCAGAAGACAGACGATCTCTATGCTGTTGCAGGTGCACAACGGCGAATATAGCGTACCACAGAAGCTGATGGTGTGACATGATAGATTTCTGCCTGGTGCCAATGGGCATCGGAGAACCATCCGTACGTGAATATCTAACATTTGCAGTGTCGCTGATTAAAACATCATTATACAGGTTGCAGAATATGTTGCGGAGTGCGCTCGCGTGCTTGACAAGACCAGATTAAAGCACAAGGTATATCTTGGATAGCTGCTAGCAGAAATTACAGCTCAGAAAGTACTGCGACATTCTCAGATGCAGTAAGTGGTGCTTCGTTGAACATGCAGGGTAGGACAGCCCATCTAACTGATCACTATTTAGTGGTTATGGAACCAATATAGGCAAGTCCACCGAGTCGACGAGCCTCATGAGAGCTAGCGCGAGTACCAGAGGGCCCATGGTCCGCCGTTATGCAAGCCATTCATGATTGTCACGCCGCGGTGCACGCGAAGGGCACGTCGCGCATTGCGACTGACATTCGCATTGGCACGCGAGTCGACAAGAAGATCGAGCTGGGCACAGGCAACGAAGGCAAGGTCAAGCGGGTCGAGGACATTCTTGCGCGCGATCAGAAGGCATAATTTGTTATTCACTAAAATGATGCAGATGAGTGTGAATAGCAGGAAACCATGATCTTGTATATTAGCTGTCCCTAGATTAAAGCAGAACGACTGAGGTCCAAAGAATGCTTGCTCATCGTTCTCAGTGATGTGTGAATTCCAATGCATGATGAAGCATGTGTGGACTGACCAGCAAGTGGCGTGACGAGCCGGCCCGCGTCCCTCATGAATGCCCATCCCCATCGCCAGCGACGCGCTTGCTCATCTTTTCTCTATCCACCATGGCCTCCCTCGCCCGGTTACGCGCTAGCCTTCCTCGCACTCGCAAAACTGTAAGGGATGCCGGACGTCGTCTCTTACTCTTCCCAGACTCACTGTCCGCGTTACATAGCCTCTAGTCCGCGCGCTCCAGACGGCAGCGGACACGACGCAGTTGAAGGAGGAGGCGTCGCACTCCGAGCCCTTCATGGTCACGCTTCACGAGGAGTCCTTCCATGGGTTCAAGACCGACCCCCCGACGCGTGATCTCGAGGTGACCAAGGATGGCCTCCTCAAAATGTACAAGCTCATGAGCACCATGCGCCGTATGGAGCAAGCCGCGGACGCCCTCTACAAGCAGAAGCTCATCCGCGGTTTCTGTCATCTCGCAATCGGACAGGTGCGCAGCCCGCATAGCTCCCCCGTCGCGCGCATTCTGACGCGTGTCTGGCGGCTACCTGCAATCAGGAAGCTGTCTCGGTCGGCATGACGCACGTGCTGACGCCCCAGGACAACATCATCTCGGCCTATCGCACACATCCGTTCGCCGTCTTGCGCGGTGGGAGCGTCTTTGCGCTCATCAGCGAGCTTCTCGGCCGCAAAACCGGTATCTCGAAGGGCAAGGGTGGCTCCATGCACGTCTTTACGGAGTCCTTCCAGGGCGGGCACGGTATCGTTGGCGCGCAAGTCCCGCTTGGTGCTGGCCTCGCATTCGCAGCGAAGTACCTGGAAAAGCCAATCGCGACGTACACGATGTATGGCGATGGCGCGAGTAACCAGGGACAGGTGTTCGAGGCTTTCAACATGGTGCGTTTGTCGTTACTCACAATCCAACCTAAAGCTCACTATGCCATACAAATATGTGATGATAGGCCAAGCTATGGAACCTGCCATGCGTGTTCGTCTGCGAGAACAACAAGTACGGGATGGGTACCTCGGCGGAGCGGAGCTCGTCCAACACTCAGTATTATACTCGTGGTGACCAGATCCCAGGCATTCAGGTAACGTATTCCTTGCAGCACTCTAGACCAGTACTAAACCCTGTATCTAGGCGAATGGTATGGACGTCCTCGCGGTCGTGAAGGCTGTGGAGCACACCAAGCAGTGGGTTCTGGATGGAAAGGGCCCTATAATACTTGAATTCGTCACGTATCGCTACGGCGGTCACTCGTACGTCGCGCCCTCACTATCTCTCACAACCCAAATGATGGATCGTTAATGTTCAGGATGTCCGACCCTGGAACGAGTTATCGTACGCGTGAGGAAATCCAGCGCGTACGCAGTACAAACGACCCTATCCGTGGCCTGCAGAGCTATCTGGCGGACTGGGGTCTGGCGACTGAGGAGGGTCTGAAGGCACGCCGCGCTCTACTTATATACTCACGCATCTCACTAACGCATTGTGCCATAGAAACTCGACAAGGACGCGAAAGCAGAGGTTGATGCTGCTGTTGAGGAAGCCAAGAAGGCGCCCTTCCCTCCCGATTCGGACCTCTGGGCTTCTGTCTATGCCGAGGGCCATGAGCCGCCTTTCCTGCGTGGTCGGGAGCGTGAGGAGGTGGGTCGTTTCGAGTCCTCGCTCTGAGGGATACGAAACTGACGTCACTGCAGGGGCACCGGTTCTGAGCTCCCGTTGATGCGTAAGAGTTTGAGCGTGATTCGATTCTTATAGTGTTTTGACGGATGGCCGTACAGTACAGTATTAGATGGCCTGTGCTAGTGTAGCGTGACATTACTTCACCGTCCGCGACGCGAAGCCGTGGATGATTTTTCGTGGGCGACATGACGCGTATGAAGCAGACTGCTTGTTAAAAGTCCGATCTGACTGTCGCTACTCGCTGAGGCCTCCGAATGTCATGGCGGAAGGTCTACATTGGGGTGGTATTCTATGTCCATCAGTCATTAAACTTCTATCGGAAGTATGGTACCTGTAAGCTTAGTGTGATTGTGACGGAATGTCAACCTCAGTGCCATCGTCGGCTATGACCTTATAACGAACTGCACGGAGTTGAGACCCGGAAGCATAAGGACAAGTGGGCACTACGCACTGATGGTGAATGGTTCGCCTTTGGCTTTACGTATGCTTGTGAAATATAATGTTCCTGAGCCTGCATATGGGTGAGTACTTCGTCATATAGGAATTAAAGCACACATGCCCCTGTGGCCCTTGATCCTGAAGCTCACATCAATGTTGCCCTGCATCATATGGACCTGTCGCCGCCGCATCAACACAGCCCATATACCCCGGTACGCTCACGGGCGACTCACCGAACCGTTGATCCAGGGGTCGCCGTTCAGCCACCAGATGGGCTCGGGGCGGATCGCGTCGCCCAGCACCGCGTTCAGCTCAGGACTGTCACGCAGGTTCTCCAGTATCTGCCGGACGATTGAGCTATGAAGCCTCTCCTGGTTATGGCTCCATGCGAGGAACGCGCCCCAGGAGGCGACGCCGACGGTGCTGAACGCGAGGATGATGGGCCACCGCCTCTTTATGGGATTCGGGGAATCAGCCAAGTCTACGCGGAGTTCCGACGCGAAAGCAGCATACCTGGAGAGGAGGTAAGTCTCTCTGTGGCTGCTTGTAGGGACGGGGCTTGGATGGCGCCGCGAAGACCTCCGCCTCCGGGGAATCCTAGGGAGGCGGTCGGGGCAGCTCTGCCGTGGTTGTATATGTCCTCGATGAGCCTCTCACCGCGAATCGGTTG